CGAACTATAAACACAGGTCTACTGATAAAAATTTAGTAAAGAAATCTATGCTGATATACCCCCTAACCATCTTAAATGCATATTCATTGCAAAATATAACTTCTCTCGTAAGATATTGTACATGCATTAACACACTAACGTAATCAGATTATGTACTGGTTGGTATATGCAGCGGAGAGCTAACTTGCAAGGTGTTCCTCCTATTTCTACAGGCTAGGGCGCTCTCAGAATTATAAACACAGGGGTACTGATAACAATTTATTAGAGAAATCTATGCTGAGATACCCCCCAACCATATTAAATTCATATTCATCACAAAATATAACTCTTCTAGTGAGATATTGTACATGCACTAACACACTAACGTAAAGCTAAAGTCACACTGGGGCCGGACTGTCCACGGATTACCGCGGATGGGGCAGGATCTCCCCGGACCGTAAAATTTATAATCCGTGGCGATCCGGGTGAAAAAAAGCATCATCGGGCCGGATCGGGCCGGACCAGCACGGCAGCGCCACGGACCATCCTGGATTGAGCCCGGATGAAGCCGGCCCCAGCACGGAGTCACTACGGACCGCCCCGGACCGCCACGGACCCGATCCGGCCTGGTCCGGCCCCGTCCTGGCCCATCCGGGCTCCCATCCGTGTTGGGTCCGCCTTGATCCGTAGTGATCCGTGGCCGACAAAAACGACACGGATGGCCACGGATGGGCCCGGTTCAACACGGTGCCACTACGGACTGTCCCGACCGTTAGCACGGACCGCCAGGACCGTCAGCGACCACCACGCCGATGGGGGAAAACTTCCGCGACGCTCCCGGCCATCACCCAGGAAATTTTAAACAGTTTAAAACTTCGGGCGCGATATCCCGGGAATGCGCCAGGACAATCAGGACCACCCCGGACGGGCCGGACCGTCAGAGACCGTCCAGGCACCCAACAAGGATCTCTCCCCGGATCAAGTCCGGGCAGCGTCCGGCCCGGTCCGCCGGAACTTGTGATTTGACTTTAGCTTAACCAGATTATGTACTTGTTGGTGTATGCAGCGGAAACCTTACATGCAAGGTCTTCCTCCAATTTCTTAAGTGAAGTCCCCTGATGGAATGTTATCTTGTAAATCTATGCTAGGATAACTCCTCTTCATTTTAAATACATAATCTTTGCAAAATATTATGCTTTTCAGGAGATATTGCGCATGCGCGAGCACCGTTTCAGGCGTGCAATACGGACTGAAGAAAACTTCATAATATAACTTGCTGCGAGAGAAAGGGGGTAGCAGACTGAGGAAATGCGGCAGGGAAGATAGCTGGGGGCGGTAGAAGAAGAGGGAAGCTGAGCGAGGGACAGGAGAGGCAAAGAGAAGGACGCGAGGGCATAAAGTAGGTGTTTTGAACCCTACAGGCTAGGGCGCTCTTCTAATTATAAACACAAGACTACTGATAAAATGTTATTAGGGAAATCTATGCTGAGATACCCCCTAACCATATTAAATTCATCTTCATCACAAAATATAACTCCTCTAGTGAGATATTGCGCATGCGCTAACACACTAACGTAGCCAGATTGTGTACTGACTGGTATATGCAATGGGCACCTTGTATACAAGGTCTTCCTCCTATTTTTTAAGTGCAGTCTACTGATAGAATATTATTATATAAATCTATGCTAGGGTAACTCCTCTTCATTTTAAATGCATGATTTTTGCAAAATCTTATTCTTCTTGGGAGATATTGCGCATGCGCGAGCACCGCTTCATGCGTACAGTAGGGAATGAAGTGAACTTCATAATATAGCTTGCTGAAGGATAGAGGAAGACTGAGGAAAAACGGCGGGGAAGATAGTTGAGGGGCGGTAGAAAAAGAAGGACGCTGAGCGAGAGATAATGGAGACAGGCCGGGAGGGGATGAAGCAGGAATTTTGCACCCAACCCGACCAGCGACGCGAGCGGCATTTACACGTACATTAGCATAGGAAAGGGATTGTGGCAGGATGCTGCGGACAAAGTTCAAATTCGATGGCGAATTTCCCCATGCACATCTCTTCAGGGCATACCCCTGACCATTTTGAGCGTGTAAGTTTGGCCGAAATAATTGTTTGGCAACCCCACCGGCGACGCGAGCGCCATTGCCATACACCTTAAAGGGCACGCAACACTAGCATTCCGCCAATTGTTCAGCCTTGAAACTGAGAGGTCGAAGTTCGTGTCACCTAATTGACCCTCGCACCCGATATCGGCCGTCGAGACCTTGACCCATCGTAATCCATAAATGCGCGTGTCGTGCCGTGCTTGATATAGCGGCAGTAAATTCGTTTGTTTAAAATGTATGTGCATATACCGTATTTACTTGTGTATAATCTCACATTTTTGTACACTACTTTAATAAAAAATCAGGGGTGCGAGTTATACACGAGGGTAAGAAAGCTTGTTAATGTACCAATTTTTGTACCAACTTTCCAAGGCAAAATATGGGGTGCGACTTATATACGAATGCGACTGACACACGAGTAAATACGCATATATACACACGTGGCTCATGACAATGTATTAATTTTTTAATGCTTTCCTACCGTGATCTCCTTCTTACTTGTGTCTCACTGTCGCATACTGTCAAGATATCTGCACATGTCTGTATAAATGATAAGGGAAAACGTATATATTTATTTAGTTATATAGTTAGTTATTTTTTAGTTATATGACTAAATATATTTAATATAATAAGTATAAATAACTATATGTAAGTACTAAACTAAGTAATTAAGTACTAAGTAATATTATAAACTAACTAAAGTGTGTAGTATAAATATGAATATATATATATATATATATATATATACTATATATAGTGGCTGTGTTGTGTGTGTGTGTGTGTTGTGTGTGTGTGTGGTGTGTGTGTGTGTGCTGTGCATGTGTGTGTGTGCGTTGTGTGTGCTGGCGTGCGTGCCGTGCGCTGGCTGCGCCGCGCGCGTGGTGTGTGTTGCGCGCGCTCGGTGTGTGGTGTGGTGTGTGTGTGTGTGTGGTGTGTGTGTGTGTGTGTGTGCGCTGCTGCTCGTGCGTGTGTGTGGTGTGTGTGCGTGTGTGTGTGTGGCGTGTGCGTGTGTGCGCGTGTGCTGGTGTTGCGTGTGTGATGTGTGTGTGTGTGTGTGTGTGTGTGTGTGTGTGTGTGTCTGTGTGTTTGTGCGCGCTCGTGTGTGTGTGTGTGTGTGTTGCGTGCGTTGTCTACGCTACAATTACTGCTTATGGAGTTCATCCAACAATTTATTGTAACATGTAGGGAATCATCGTTGAATGAGTCCGCTAATACGCTTTTGTCCACTGTGAACTCAAGATCACACGAAGCTAACAGCCAGTGCATCGGGCAATAACCTTGCTCAAGTTCAAGTTCAAGTAAAATTTATTTTCATCGGAGTATCATAACATTGATAACATAAGGCTAAGAGCTTTGCACCGATATCAAACAAGAAATAAAGATATGATTAAACATAATAAAAAACTGCGTAACTGCAGTGTTACTATTCACATGGCCTAATTGGCCGTATTGCCTTTAAACAAATAACAACAATATATCAATATATCACATCGTCAATTAGGCCGACACATTGAGCATCTGCACCTGTACTACCCACGTTCGAGTAGCCTTCTAAACACGTTTGAAGTTCTCACTCCGACGTATACATTTCGGTAAATCGCTTCCATATTCTAGCTCCTTCATACTTTAAGCTTGTCTTACCACAAGTGGCCCTTTCGAAACGTGGGATGTGTACACGTATTAAACTATATCTGCGGACTCATTCTTTACAACAAGATCGTGGAGGTATACAGGCCGATCTTTAGTGAGAATTTTAAAAACTTCAATGGCTATGAGCTTTTGTCTTTGTAGTTTGAGACTGACTGAATTTGTTTCTTGCTAGTAAGACTGTCTAGTCACTGCTGAAGTTCATTATACACACATTTTAATGCTCTATAATTGAGCTTTTTCTAGCTTTTTCTCGTTCGCCTATCACAGAAGTGCCATATAATGAGGGCAAAATGTAAAATTTGAGCTGCATAAAAAGACGAATATATTATTTTCCTGCAACTAACAGCCAGATGCCGTCCGATACCTTTCAGTGCATTTATTTGCCTGGCACCTTTTGACAAAGCTTTGAAATGCGCCCCCAAAGTTGAGTTTAAAATCAATGGTCACACCCAGCAATTTTACTTCATCGGTGCATTTAATATCCGTCCCCCCAACAGTGAAGTGGGGGCATCGATCATAGGTTTTCTTCCCAATCGCAATGCCTGAAACTTTGCAGGGTTTGCCTGCATTTGATTTTTGGAAACAGTCGATCAGGCACTCCGCCTCAGTCTCGGAGGGTATGTTTCATATCTACCAAAGTCTTCACTAGGGTAGGAGAATTGGTATTGCTATCTGCATAGTTACATAAACTTGCCTTCATTATTAAAATAAAATATATCATTTATAAATATGTTTTAATATCAGTGGACCTATATGGATCCCTGCGGTATTCCTTTTTGCAGGTATAGAAAGTCACTGCAACGATTACCCATGCGTACACACTGTTTGCGATCTGTCAAATAGCTTTGTATAAGATTTACAGCACTGTTGTCCACATTGTATGCTTTTAGCTTCTCAAAAATCAGTGCGTGAGGCAAGCAGTCATAAGCCTTCGACAGATCCATTAGATAGCACCAACAAAATGACCCCGCGTCGAGAGCCCATCTCCACTCCTCTGTCAGCGCTATTAGAGCGGAATTGGCAGCTGCTACCTTTGCGATACGCGCGAGAGGTATGGGTGAAAGTTCCTGAAAGTGGTCACTAAGTTGGTCGCGAATTGCTCTCTCGAACAGTTTGGATACTATAGGTAGTATACTGATTGGTCTGTAGTTATCCTTAATCAATGTATCATCTTTTTTAAAAATTGGTGATACGCGTGCTTCTTTAAGAGCAGCTGGGAAGGAGCTGTCTCTTAACATTTCATTTATAATACACAGTAATAGGCTTACATGGCTGGTTTTACCTTGTTTAGTACCTTAACAGAGAGGTTATCGAGCCCTGTTGCTTTCTTACTGTCAATTCTTGACAAGTATTTATCTACCTGCCAGGAGCTGATGGGGTTGAAGGTAAGTTTGTGGCCCTGGTTTGCCTTTTCTCGTACCTTCCTTACACTCGGATGGTTCGTAACCTCCTGTTCTGACAGGTCTTTTCCGATATTATCGGCTACACTAACAAAAAATTTATTGAAAATATTTGATACGGATGTCTGATTCTCTAAAAGGCAGACATCCTCACCACTTGAAGCACCTTTACTCAGGAATGGTTTGATGGTAGGCCAGAAATCTCGTGATTTTGGTCCACCAGCACACCTTTCCATAAAGTATGTGTTGACGGACTCTCTCTTAAGTTTTGTAACCTTATTCCTTTGAATTCGGAAATTTTCCCAGTTCTTTTTTGATTTACATTTTAGGAAAATACGCCAAAGTTTTTTCTTAAAGTTGATAGCTTTCTTTAATTCCCCGTTCATAAAAGGGGCAGTTTTCTCCCTTGTTTTCTTTACCTTTATGGGAATGTGCCGGTCGATGACCTCGCCAAGCATCACCCCATGGGCCCAGTAGACATCATCTATGTCATCAAACACATGTGCCACATGGAGTGGTGCCCTCCCGACGTCACCGACCAACTCACTCTCATCAAGGTTTTTGAAACATCTATACCGGATTTGGGTCTGAGAGCGGGGTTTAATTTTACATTTCATCACACAAGCTATAATGTGGTGACAATCACTCAGCCCAATATCACATGACATGGATTTTTTGAAGGACCTATAACGATTTGTCAGTATGACGTCGACTAGAGACGGATCACAGTTTTTTGTAAAACATGTAGGTGTTTTTATCAAATTTGCTAAGTCGAAAACGTCACAAATGTCCTTCAGTGTCTGCGACTTCTCTGGACGTAGCATGTCGAAGTTCAGGTCGCCAATAAGCAGCAGGTTTTCATGGTGTTGCATGCTTGTATCTAGGGACGTGATGATGTCCTCCGAGAAAGTTCGATTCGCCATGGTTGGCGTCTTGTAGGCGGCCATCATCAGCCACTTTTTATTGTTGATAACCAGCTCGATGTTCAACGCTTCCACTGTTTTTGGTTCTCCGCGCTTAATTCTCCGTGAAGGGATGTCGGCTCTAACATAGACCATAACACCACCTCCGGTTGTCGTTCGGTCTCTTCGGTAGAGACGATAACCTTCCACGCAAAATTGCGCGTCGGGAAAAGATGCGTCGATTTTGCTTTCTCCTATCGCTAGAACGTCAACGAGTTTCTGGTATAGAACATCAGTTACCATTGTGTACTTGGTTTTCATTGAGTTAATGTTTAGGTACGCGATTATAAGGTTCGAATGATTATTCCTCTGAAGCATTACGAGTTCTTCAAGATAGTTTTCATCACAGTTGTCACTATTTGGTGAATCGTGTTCAACTGCCGGCGAATCGTCTTCGAGATAGTTATCGATTCGCCGGCAGTTGAACAATAAGCTGAATAATAATAAGCTGAATGAATAATAACAAGACACTTGCTACAATCAACTTGTCGCGGGATTTAATTCTAATGTTGTTGTGTCATGGTTTTATTAGCGTGATTCACAAGCGAAGGCTGTAATCGAGGTTGATAGAGATTATAACGACGTACCTCTTCCATAGTGTGCGCGTTGGTAAATCATGACACGTTGGGTTGTGGTGTATTTCTTTGCTCGTCCTCGCCAATATTCAGTAGATAGGCTTTGGAAAATGGTCACATGCGTACCAGTCCATGTAGTCCTGGCATCGTGCAAGATGAATACGTTCATGAATATCTAGCCACACGGAAACGTCGAGTATAGATCCATGTTTTAATTTACTCGTGCCACGGGAGACATATTAGTCCGACTTCTTCTTTAGTGCCTTATACACTAGCCCGAGCCACCTTAAAATGTACTGTAGTTGACGTATCCACGATGAGGCAGTCATGGATGCGGCAACACCAACAAACTTAATGAGTTGCATAACCGCACGGACTCGTAACAATAGCACGCAGAACTTAAAGATATCAACCGGCAAAGACACGCACTGCATGATCTGTCGTAATAAATATATGCGCGCGTCGCGCCCTCCTTTATATAGAGGTATTGAATTCACTATCTCTGGCAAAGTGTCACGAACTTGTTATTTTTCTGGCACGTGGTCTACATTGTGCACGCGGTTCAATAATATAAGCTAATATAAGCTATTCCGCCTCTTCAGCTTGTTCCGTAGAACAAAACGGTTCCGTGCACGAGCCGTCTATAATAGATGGCAGACATATATAACTACCGGCTAGGGTGGGACAATAATGAGTCTAATATTTGCAATGATTGTAGGCGACATGTATAACAGTCGTTATTAGAATGGTATTTAAGTGAATTTCTCATCACAAAACTATTACCTTGTGATTCGTGCACAGAGGCGTGCGAGCGGTGACATCGTGTGTTATGGATGAGTATTTGAACGGCGTTTGCGTGGAATTATTATTCGATATAGAGCACATTATGGACATCAAACCGCAGGTAATACTTCTACTTCTACTTCTACTTCTACTCTATATTGCCCACCATCATGCAACATGCTGATGATTTTGCCAACAGGAGGCGCAAGTTAAAACGTTTATTTTTATTTTTTAAGACTTTTTACTTAAAAATTGTCCTGATGTCATTCAGGCAGTAAGTACTTAAACGCATTTAGACTCTCAGCGGTCACTATTTGAGTATTTCAGTGGGTAAGGCGTTCCACTCTCCTTAATAGATCTAGGAAAGAAGGAATAAATGTTTATTTCTTGTCATATACACTAGGGATAGCGGGTATAGGTCTAGTAACCTTCATCTCTGTATATATAGAGGTGTCACTACTATTTTTGTACGTATAAAGTTGTCATTTTGATTGTAGGATATTTGACTGCATGAATTTTTTATGATAACTTTAACGCACGACCAACAGATAACGAGAAAGTGCGATTCAATGACAATATAGCCGAAAGGTGGCGCTGCATGCATCATCTTTACCCCGTGTGGTTTTGCTCTGTTTATGTTTTTATTATGTTTCTGGATTAGTCAATGATTGATTTGTACGACGTGGTAGATGCATGATATATGCTTCTGAACTTGGATACTTATCTACTGTAGTCGTAAAGTTGCATGGAACGAATCAAAGTACTGCGGAACCATTTAAACGGAAAGGTAATAACTAGGGTTCAAGGATAGATAGCTCCAAGAAACGGTATTGCTAGCACAGGCACTTGGAACGTCTCAATAAAAAAAATTAATGGTAAATAAACATGAAATGTACCAAAGAAGTCTTAAT